GTGGTGGAGGAACAGGAGGAGGAGGCTGTCCGGGAGTCCCCTGCATCGCCACCTCCGGAGGAGCAAGGGGAATTACCCCGGGAGTCCCCTACATCACCACCTCCGGAGGAGCAGGGGGAAGCACCTTGGGAATCCCCGGCGCACCCGTCGGACAGCTCGGCGAGCACCTCGTGTAACTAGCAATATTCCATTTTTTTTCTCATTTCTTATGTATTTATTTTTCGCATTTTAATTTTTCTTTTTTATTTTTTTTTTTGCAGCGGAGTCCTACCTGCCTGCATTCTCGCAGGCACCACCAGGGGTAGGTTTCATGAACCTGCCCGACACTGACAGCGCGAGCTCCGATGATGAGGAGCCGCGGAGAGTGGCGCAGTGGGGCCCTAGCGTAGGGAACCCCGAGACAGGGGCAATCCTCGGGGCTTGTCCTCCCCGCCTCAGGTTGGTGGCAATCCGGCCGCTGATGGAGGTGGAGGCAGAGAGGCATCACCGCGGCGCTCTCCCCACCGTCTCTTCACCGGAGGAGCTCACCCCGTCTCCAGAGGTGTCGGGCAGGCCTTATGGCGCTACCTACGAGACGCGCAACAGGGTTCGCAGGGTGCTGTTTCCGCCCAGCCCACAACCTGCATCGTCGCCGGATCTGGGGCCCTCCGGACCCTCTCCTCAGCCGGGAGCGTCGAGGAAGAGGCGAGGGGCCGAGGCCTGGAGCCCCCCACCTAAACGTCCGTGGAGCTCCATGAGCTGGCGGTCGCCCCCGCTAGGGGCCACCCGAACACCGTCGCCCGCATGGAGTCACGGGACCGACTCCGACGAGACGGACTGGGAGGCCCCTTCTGGACCCATTCCCGGCTTCGGCGAACTCCCTAGCCCGGAGTTTGACGCCGTCGTCGCAGCCGGGGCGGCGAGGATCCGGCGGCAGCTGGATAGGAGACAGCGCCGAAGAGATCGGGAGCAATGATCCATCCAAATTTTTTATATATTGTGTATATTTTCTTTTGTATGGGTATTTTTGTATATATTTTTTTTGTATATATTTATATTTTCATGTATATATGTATATTTTTATGTATATATTTTTTGTGTAGATTTATATTTTTGTGTTTTCTGTGTTTTTTAATAAATCAGGTTTTTAATTTTAATTGTTTCTCTAATTCTCGCACCCTCCCTTAATTTATCAGTCTTACAGATGGTTGTTTTCTTCTTGCTCCCTGATCCTCTCGCTTTCTCTCTTCTTGTTCGGTTGGTTGGTCGTTTTCTCGTTTCCTCCTTCCGTCGTTCTGTCTTCTTCTCGTTCCGTCGTTTTCTCGTCCTCTCGTTCCATCGCTTTGTCATGGCTGCATTCTTTTCCAACGGCGTAGGTGGCGCTGTCATGGTGAGCATGATCGGGATTTCTTTAATATTAATACCTTTTTCCCGCGGTCAATCAATTTATCGGGTAATAAAAGTAGTCAATAAGATGAGAATATATGCAGTCTTCAATATGGCACCACCGCGTTTTGATATCGTACTACCGGACCTGCGTATGAAATTTCTAGCGGAAATAATTCAAATGCGCTACCCGTTTCACATCTGCGTACGGCCTATGTCTTGGAAAGACATATTTGTTAAAATGGAAAAATATTTGAGCAAAAAATATCTCATTGATAAAAAAGGTCAAACAATCGGGGATGTAAAATATAAAACAATGTGTGTTTTGAACTTTCCGGGGTATGGGGCGGTACGAGGAGTCATCACAGGGTGTGATATGACCATACTGCAAATTCATCTGTTTGACTTATGCCAAGTAGTTTATGTGCAAAAGCAACATGTATTTTATCTAGAAGAGGGACACTAGTAGTAAGTGGCCAGTATTGGGGAATTTCCCACGCTCCCTCCCCCCTTTTTTCCAGGAAATGGACGTGCACGTGCAGGTATATCCCCCCTCCTTCCCCCCAGG